ACAATAAAGAAATTTTAAAGGTTGTGTGAAGATGCAGCTGAAGTAACAGTACAGTAGAGTAACCAGGATGAGGGCAGTGCATTAAAATCAACAAATGTACAGTAAAATATAAACACAAATATTTGGTTGTATGGAGAACAAACCTGTGTATCTGTAATGAATGTACAGCCCACTGACAGTTTCTCCCACAGTAGATACAAGTTTATAGGAAAGGTGTGATGATACAATAATCTAACCTAAAAAACCCAGTGTCCGAAACAAAACACAAGCACAGATGATCGGTAGATGAAATGGAATGATCCAAGGCTGTTTCTTTTTTCTGTTTTTTTTTTTTTCCCTTTTTTTCTCTAGCTCACACAATTTTTTTTTATCGATACAGGCAAAACACACACTCTCTCTCTGCAAAACAACATCCGCACTTCCGCACGGAACAGTGTCGGAACAACAATACGGTGACCACCCAGAACAAAAATAGTGACAACCGCCTGACTCTAGAGGGGCTGACAACAACAACAGCGCCCTCCTGTCTCCAACTTAGGTCACTACCCTTTTTCATAAATCTCTGTCCCTATTGATCTGCGACTTCATGCACGCCCATCTCACCGATAGTGTCATAGTGCCATCATTCCAGGTAGATTAACCACAGAATTCCAACCAATAAATATTTAAAGTTTAAAGTTAAATTGCGAACTGCGTGGGAGCATGGGATGACAGAAGGCGAACACACATTCACCAAGACAGGGAGGCAACGCCGGGCGAGTTACACCACTCTCTGCTAATGGATCGTGGATGCCTGGGCTAAGGTATCAGTATCAAATGTCGTCCGAGCTTTCACGAAGGCCGGAATCATAACTAAAGAAATAATTCACAGCAATGAGACTGACTCGGAAAATGACAAGAGGGATCCCGGTATGCTTGATTGACTGTTTTGTTTAGCTTAATGCGCTTTATAACCCGGTGCGCCTTATGTATGAAAATAGACCCATTAATTGATATTGCGCCTTATAATGCGGTGCGCCTTATGGTCCAAAAAATATGGTACTGCTCGCCCCTGGGATCCTCCCAGGGATTTACAGAACTCCTAGCTGCCACCAACTCCTCGGTGGGGTGTGAGTTTGAGGCTGACCTAGGCAACAACCTCATCTAGAGCTGGAAGCATGCCCTTCTCCATCAGATGAGCCTTCAGAGAGTTGAATATGTGGAGCTGTTGATTAGGACGCAGGACTAAAAGCTATTGGATCACCTTTGCAGGGTTGGGGCCCCTGATAAAAGACAATGAGAGACAAAAAAAGACACCTGCTCCCTATTCACACCTGAGACCTAGTAAGAGTAACGAGTCACATGGTATTTTGGAGGGAAAATGACAAGCAGTGCTTTGTTTGGACATTTAGGGGTGTAGTGTCTTTGGGGTGTACTCACTTTTGTTGCCAGGGGTTTAGCTATTAATGGCTATATTTTGATTTTTTTTTTTGGAAAAATAAATTTACACTGCTATATAAGCTTTACACAGACTACTTTTCATTGTGTCAAAGCGATGTTTCTTCAGTGTTGTTCTATTAAACATTATAATGAAATCTCTGCAGAAATGTGAGGGGTGTACTCACTTTTGTGACATACTGTAACTGCACTTCTGCTTCTTCAGAGTGGACTTAAGGAAAGTGTGAGTTTGACAGTCTGAGGAAGCACCAGCTCGTTTTTAATGCCCTTTCTAATTCAATTGACAATGTCAGAAGCAACACTAGGTAAAGATTCTTGCTGTGCGAGGTGTCTTCAGGCAAGGAGTGGAAGCAGCCGGTAGATGGTCGATTCGTTTTAATAGCAAAACGTCAAACAAACAGGTCCAACAATAAAGCAAAATAATACGACAATACGACTGGAGAAGTATTCAAGGAAATCTCGTACAACAGTTGTTAATACGCAAATCCTCTCGAGAATAATTTCTAACTTCTCAAGAATAACTTCTAAGGTATCATTAGTTGTTTAAGCTTATATACCTATGTGGGGGGAGTGGTTTTCGACTTCCCGGGTGTGTGTTTAAATCTTGTAGGCCAATGGAAGAGAGAGGCTAGGCCTCTTGTGGCCAATCATATTATTGTTCTTGTAT